TTTTTCTGGCAACTGGGCTCACTGGCACAGCATAAATTACTGGTACCGTATGTACCAGAACAGTTGAAACAAGACTGGTCTCCTCTCCTGGGATCAGATCAGGTCTTTAAGAAAATTGCTGGGTGGTGAGATTCCCAAACCCGTAATAACTTTCCAGATGCCAGTGCCTATCCCAGTTTTGTCCTTTCTTCATTCACATGATGAAATACTTCTCTTTTTTTCTGATTTTTTTTCTTACCCCTCCACCCCTTTCTAGTGCCCGATGATTGAACTCCTCGTTTTTCTTTAATCCTGCACTATACCGTTGGGCTTTCCGGTAACTGGGAGACGGTGATTGTGTTCTGCTCATCTTTGGTTGAAGCTCCTGAGGAAGAATAATTTACTCGGATAACCCATACTAGGCAGCAAGTGTCCCTGAATCCTTCCCTACCCATTCCTTTGGGTTAAGGATATCTCTTCCCTCAAATTCCTCGGCTGTGGGCCTCTGGCTAAGTCTCCTAATTTCCAACCTGTTCCTGGATTCCCTGCCTCTCTTCTTCACGTGTCACCCCTGCGAGGTGTTTTGTCTTCTAATTCTTTCTTAGACGGTCTGTGGCTAAGTTTTAGTGTGATGAGAGGATCCCTTTGCCCATGTCACATGCCGAAGCACATTCACCCCCGCCGTCCTCATCCTTGTCTTCTTCCTCGTGGTCATTGGTGGACAAAAGAGGCCCATCAGAGCCAGAGTCATGGACGTAGTGAAACCTTGTGACCTCTGTGCTATAGGACACAGAAAGATTCTGAAGATTGTCCCATCAGCTTACATCTCATTGGCCGAGGTGTCGTCTTCTGTGTCTTGTTGGTTCTCACACGTAGCCAGTTCCTGATGGGAGAATGGTTGTGTGTGTTTCCTCTTCAGCACAGACACTGGACTTGGTCCGAGAAGAGATGGGCAGGGAGCCCCACTGCTACGCCGGACATCAGGAGTGTCTGAGGAAGTGACGTATGGATTCTCAAGAGGAGGACAGGGTTGGGGGAGCAGAGGGGACACAGACTTGTGGGAATCTGCACGTGGTCTACTGGGTGACAGGGACAGACGGCTCAGGTTTGAGACTCTCTACTCTGGTCTGGGAAGGATCTCCTTTCCCTGAGGCTGACCAAACTGAAAGCGGTTGCATCTGATAACGGTTGAGGTGTTAGCTGCTTGCTAGGTTTTTTTCTTGCCCTTTGTGTTTCCCACTATTACTGTTTTACTAGAAACTGCCACCCTTGAAGCTGTGGGACAAGATGACATGGATAGAATAGGTAGTGAAGCTGAGGCAGTGACTTCGAAGGTCATATTTTGGCTTGGTGGCTTGGGTAGAAGGCCGGGACCCGCCCATCAGGAGTCTTGGTATCTTTGAGGTAATGGGAGACACTTTGCCACCCTGCGGCTGGCCTCAGCGTCGGCCCCTATGGGGGGCATGGTTTGGAGCCTTACATTTGGGTTTTGGAGGAGCTGGAGCAGAAGCCATCGTTGTTTCAGATCAGTCTTCTCTTTTATTCCAGAGGTGATGCTTTTTCAGATACAGAATTATTACCATCTTCGGGTTCACTACATTTTCCTCTCAGGTGGATTATTCTCTGATGGGTCTCATGTGCCCATTTGAATTTCCAAAGTTAACTGTGTGTCTGCATCTCGATTACACACAGTTCTTTAGAATTCTCCTGCTTGTCAGCTCCTCTCTACTGTTTCTTGTGGCTGTCATTCTTTCTAATACTGCTAAAATTTCTTTAACTTCACTACCGGTATTTTTCCTCATTTGCAAAGATTAAAGATTTTTTTTAGATGGCGGACCATTTTCCCTTGAAGGGGGATGTTTGGAAACTTGCTCTTTGGCTGACTTGCTACGGAACCTTTGTACAGTCTGTCGACTAAGCCAGAGAGGTAAACCCAGAGCAGGCGGACCCTGATGGAGGACAGGGAGAGAGAGCTCCAGGAATGGCTGTGTGGGCTCAGATCCCCAGCCAGCCAGCCAGCCATGGGGCTTGGGGTCTTCAGCAGTTGATACCTACCTGCCTCTGCCATTTGCTCCTGGGTTGTGTGTATATATTTTTAAAAACACCTTCTTTGAGATAGAGTTCATATACCATGTAATCCATCCATTTAAAGCATACAATTAAATGGCTTTTAGTATATTCATAGAATTGTGCAATTATCCCCATGGTGTATTTTAGACCATTTTGATTACAACAGAAGAAAGCCCTGCACCCACTAGCAATTACTCCCCATTCTCCTGTCCCTCTGCCCAGACAACCACTGGTCTACTTTTTGTCTATCTATAGATGTCTCTGTTCTGGACATTGCATATAAATGGAATCATATAATAAGTGACTTTTATGACCACTTTTGTGACTGGTTTCATTCACTTAGCATCATGTTTTCATGGTTCGTGCATGTTGTGGACCATATCAGAACTTCAGGCCTTTTTGTAGCTGAGTAGCATTCCGTCATATGGATATAGCATGTTTTGCTTATTTTCTTCCATGGATGGACATTTAGGTGGTTTCCACTTTCTGGCGGTTGTAAATAGTAACACTGAGAACAGTCCTGTACAAGTTTGGGTTTGAACATCAGTTTTTATTTTGGGTGCATATCTAGGAGTGGAAAGTGCTGGGTCATGTGTAAATCTGTGTTTCACTGTTGAGAAACCATCAAGCTATTTTCCAGAGTGACTGTGTCATTTGACATTCTCAACAGTGTATGAGGGTTCCAATTTTTCCACCTCGCCAACATTTGTTCCCCCCCCCCCTTTTTTTTAATTACAGTCCTCCTAAGAGGTGTGAAGTAGTATCTGACTGTGGTTTTGATTTGCATTTCCTTACTGACAAAGGATGTTAAGGATTTTTCCTTGTACTTGTCGGCCATTTGTGTATCTTCCTTGGAAAAATGTCTGTTGAAATCTTTTGCCCATTTAAAAACAGTTCTGTGTCTTTTTGTTGTTGAGCTACTGTGTTTTGGTAAATAAACTTTTACAGGGCTGGGGATGGAGTGAGGCAAGTGAGACAAGGTTGTACAAGTGCAGGGTCAGATCCTGTCGTTATTTCAAATGTTGGTTGGTGTTTTGTTCATGATATTTTGGCGTTAGGATTTTTTTTTTAAATACTGCACTAAAAAATTAATGGCTGGGTGTTTTTGATGTCGGTTAAATTTTGCGCCAGAGGCTCGCCGCAATGCGGTCCCGGTCACTTAACTCTGGCAGGAAAACAGTTTGGGCCGCAGTTGACAAATGCGCAGCCCTGCCACCGCAGGAACGACCCGCTCCCCGCGCTGTTCCACCCCTCCCGGGGCGGCCGCGCACTGTCGCTGCACTGTTCCCGCACCGCCTGCGGGCCTCCCGGGTACTCCCGTCGCGGCCTCTTGCCTTCCAGCGTCGAGCTCGGCTTGCACCCCCACGGCCAGCCAGCGGCGCGGATGACGGGTGGTCTGGGTCCCTGCTCCCTGCACTGCGCCCCGTTGCCGCGAAAACGCTGGGCCCTGAACGACAGGTGCCTGGGGGCGCGCTGCTGGCCGCGAGGGGAGTCGGCAGAGTGGAAGGACAGCGGGCGTACCGCCCAGGTGCCCTTCGGCACCTCCACCAGCCCACTCGTTATTTTGCCCAACTCTGTCGAGCCCGCTTTTTCTGCCCCGAGTAGATGCCCACTTCTCCACTCGTTTCAGGGCAGCGGGGAGGCGCGGGGAGGCGTGGGGCGGCCACGCTGCTGGGCATGTGAGTGCAGCGGCCAGATGCTCACACTGCCGCGGCCGCATGCGTCCCTTTGAACCGCAGCGAGTGCGAACGCCGAGCCGGGCGGACCGCGGGCACCTGGGCGCTCCGCCCCCGCGGGCTGGGACCGCGCGCTGCGCGGGGGCGGGATAGCGGGG